CAGAACCGATAGACTTTAAAATAATTTGTCAGGGGTTTTTAAGCAGTGTACACAATATCAAGGATCAGACATTGCGCATCGCGGCAAAGTAATTGGCAACCCTGCTTCGTACTCAGGAGGTACAGGATTCAAATCTCTGTCCGAAGACCGGCTATCGTATGAGGGTTATGGCGGTTATAGAGAAATGCCGAGGTAGTATATAAATTCTTCTCCATCCTTCGCACTTGATTTTGTGTAATTTGAATCATGGACAGCGTCGTTAAAATGGTGACATAAAACCAAGTGACTTGAAAGAGAGCAACAGGTATCATGAACCCCCAACCTGGTTGCTAGGCATGAGAGAAAGGTAAGGATAGGAGAGAATGTTGATGGCCAATTGCCCATATGTCCCGTGGTCAGCTTCCTGACGTAGACAGGGTTAGCAGGAATCCATCTTGAAGACGCATTGCCTTTAAATCGTTCACTCTTCTATTACATCACAAAGCAAGTTAAGAACAAGGGCAAGGCAAAAAAAGACTTAACGTCACGGTTGAGCTGTTTATTACGTCATCAGAAGGTGTTCCTACTTACTTACCTACAGCAGTGTACTTGTCCCTGCTGTAATGTAACAGTGACATATAAGTTTAGAATTCTAACATAACATTCTTCTGCCAGAAAATAACATTTTTATATTCGTTGTAGGGTAACTAGAACAATTTCCGAAAATATGAGATGTGAGGTTGTGTCGCGGTGAAGATTTCATCGTTAGTCTTCTGGTTTAAACGTTGTGTGGACTTATAGGCAGATAGCAACGTTTCGGAGAAGCATACTGACTCCATCTTCAAGTAGTTTTTAGTTTCACATAGTGAAATTTTATGAGTGTTATTAAATGAGTTCTTACATCTGCCGTCGTCATGTCATAGGATTCTGTTGTCATTTCTAAACTTGCAGTAGAACTAAATTATTTTATTTCACAGAAAGTAACCAGCAGACAGAAAAATCAAGATGAAATGTTGATTCTCATCAGTCGTGCTGGTAATGAAAATTTGTTTTCCCACTGACGTAATGTACCATAATAGTTTGAAATCAACCGACGGATTTCGGTGTCTCATGCTTGCGATGTTACTTCCCCTCACCTTTTATTGCGAATAGGCCTGTTACTTGTTTAAAGTGGAATAACTTCAGCTTTGTTCAGCCTTTGAAACCCGATTAAAATACTTCCACAATGCTCTAAGAATTTTATCGTTATTGCTTTTTGTTTCCTTAGTAAAATTAGAAATAAGGAATTACAGAACCGATAGACTTTAAAATAATTTGTCAGGGGTTTTTAAGCAGTGTACACAATATCAAGGATCAGACATTGCGCATCGCGGCAAAGTAATTGGCAACCCTGCTTCGTACTCAGGAGGTACAGGATTCAAATCTCTGTCCGAAGACCGGCTATCGTATGAGGGTTATGGCGGTTATAGAGAAATGCCGAGGTAGTATATAAATTCTTCTCCATCCTTCGCACTTGATTTTGTGTAATTTGAATCATGGACAGCGTCGTTAAAATGGTGACATAAAACCAAGTGACTTGAAAGAGAGCAACAGGTATCATGAACCCCCTACCTGGTTGCTAGGCATGAGAGAAAGGTAAGGATAGGAGAGAATGTTGATGGCCAATTGCCCATATGGCCCGTGGTCAGCTTCCTGACGTAGACAGGGTTAGCAGGAATCCATCTTGAAGACGCATTGCCTTTAAATCGTTCACTCTTCTATTACATCACAAAGCAAGTTAAGAACAAGGGCAAGGCAAAAAAAGACTTAACGTCACGGTTGAGCTGTTTATTACGTCATCAGAAGGTGTTCCTACTTACTTACCTACAGCAGTGTACTTGTCCCTGCTGTAATGTAACAGTGACATATAAGTTTAGAATTCTAACATAACATTCTTCTGCCAGAAAATAACATTTTTATATTCGTTGTAGGGTAACTAGAACAATTTCCGAAAATATGAGATGTGAGGTTGTGTCGCGGTGAAGATTTCATCGTTAGTCTTCTGGTTTAAACGTTGTGTGGACTTATAGGCAGATAGCAACGTTTCGGAGAAGCATACTGACTCCATCTTCAAGTAGTTTTTAGTTTCACATAGTGAAATTTTATGAGTGTTATTAAATGAGTTCTTACATCTGCCGTCGTCATGTCATAGGATTCTGTTGTCATTTCTAAACTTGCAGTAGAACTAAATTATTTTATTTCACAGAAAGTAACCAGCAGACAGAAAAATCAAGATGAAATGTTGATTCTCATCAGTCGTGCTGGTAATGAAAATTTGTTTTCCCACTGACGTAATGTACCATAATAGTTTGAAATCAACCGACGGATTTCGGTGTCTCATGCTTGCGATGTTACTTCCCCTCACCTTTTATTGCGAATAGGCCTGTTACTTGTTTAAAGTGGAATAACTTCAGCTTTGTTCAGCCTTTGAAACCCGATTAAAATACTTCCACAATGCTCTAAGAATTTTATCGTTATTGCTTTTTGTTTCCTTAGTAAAATTAGAAATAACTGTAAGAATTGATGCAGCTGTCGAAATCGTATCGTGCGCTCCGGTGTGTTTATATAGTTTATATAGTTGAAGTCAGTGCATCGTATAATTTTGTCACGGACGTAGTACCGTCACAAGTTACAAGTAAATTTATCCTAATTTTAGTGGCTGTCTAAGATCATTATCCACTGCGATAAAATAAATAGAATTAAGTAAAGTAAAGTAAAATTCTCACAACCAAACGTATGAAATGTATGTACTCTGTATCATAATGAACTGTTTCTAAAATAATTCTCTGCTTTTATTATCCCTCATTGGCTTTGATTTATTTTAATTACAAGCTCTTTGCACAGTTAGTAGCAGTAGTGATCCAGCTCTTCATTAAATTATACATTAAATTACAGATAATTCCTTGCTTTTATTTTGTTGAATATAAATTACATCACATCGAAAAATGTAATATACTCTTAAAACCGACCTGTATATCGGATTTATGTGCAGTGAATGAGTCGCTGAGAAATCGGATTCGACGTACGTTTTGAATTTCACCTGAGGTAAGTGTAGAATTACTGAACGTGGCTAGAGTCAGTAGCTGTATTTCATTTTAAATGACATTGATACATTTACATCAAATCCTTAATTAATCGTGTTTCATACTCAGGTTTTACCGAGTTCGCTATTAGGTGCTGGTGAAATTTCTTTCATGATAAAGTCATATGATGCAAGCCTCCTTGAAGGTCACTGTACTCAGTATTACATTTCTATCCCCTCCCCCCCACATTTCTTCTGTGGACATAGTTTATCCTAAAACAGACCTGTCACAAACCATAACTAATTATACATGTTACAGAGTCTTTCTTCAGAAGTTTGTAGAGATATTAGACTGTGGTTAATCGACCTTCTAAGAAGTTAATCAGGAGTCGAGGTCTACAAGGCTGTTACTACGAAAGCAATCCAGGTTGATCACCTTTTCCGTAATACAAAATAGGAAAGTGTGACATAGGCCATTGTTGTTGTGTAGATGAGGAGTGTTTCATTCACTCTAATGGCTGTCTGCTTGTTTGTTTGTTTGGAAGCGAGCTTGTTGAGCGACTGTCGTTGAGAGATGGGGCTGTTGCCATTGCAGGCACCGGGACATGAATGGAGAGCTTCGACTAGCCACAACACTTCAAGCAGCAGTGGCGTAAAGGACTCTCTTTACGATGAGCTTCCACTCATCTATATAGTTCTGTTATGTTAGTTAAATTTATAACAATGATAAGGTAAGACACGGACTATAGCACGCCTGGAACTTAGGAAATGTCTGTAGAACTATGTAAGGATACGTAGGCATGCATGGTAGAATAATATTAAGTGTATTTAGTATCTTCGTTAATATTTTGAAACGCACAAATACATATAATAATATTGTTGCACAGATTTCGAAGTACGTTACGTCTATAAAACAAACGAAACAGTAAGAAAGAAGTGATACTTTGAACATCAAATGTAGGCCTATAAATGGTGGTTGATGTTGGATATATAACTTAATATTTCAGTTATTGTATGAAATATTTTGTCTTGTTCTAAACCTGTTAGACCTAGCCCTTCTAAACGTAAATGAATAAAATAATGTTCTTTCCATCTTCGAAAATGCAACGGATGTGACACCTATAGAGTAGTCATCTTTGTAAAGATAAAGTATGTCAAATTGACAAAAAGTTCCCCGCCTTTCCAGAATCATAACATCTGTTTCCTCTCCTGACCTAGATTAACAGAATCTATAACCTCATATCTTATTATTCAAACTACGTTTTAATAGTATCCTTCCACCTAACCCCAGGATTCCCAATATTCCCTTCCTTTTAGGTTTTCCAACTAAAATGCTACCTAATTATTTCGGAATATTTAGACGGCGTTACAAGAAAAATTCAACTAATGTTCTTGTTTATAGGTGCCGTGTCGACCGTCTAAAATGAAACTAGAGCAGATGCTGGATGCCTCCACTCCATTGCACAGGGATAGAAGACAATCTACGGCAAGACATCTCAAGGTAAGATTAATATTTGACACGTCCAGATTTTTTTACAATGTTTTTCTCATCCTGTGTATAAGACTATCAATCATGTTGAGAGTCTGCGGATATAACACACTGTTATATGATTCGGTTAACTTAATTCTTGCGAATCTACGTGCCTCAACATAAACCACGTTAGTCTAGGCTAATACTAATTAATCCACATTAATCCAGTTTATTTAACTTTAATCCGTATAATGAAATTTAATCCAAGTTTCATCCGCTTTATTCAATGTTGGCCCACATTAATGGACATTAATCTATTTTAATCCGCATTCATCCGCAAATTCGCTTTAATGGTAATCTATTTTAATCCGCATTCATCCGCTTTAATGGACGTTAATATACGTTAATCCATTTTATTTCACCTTTTCCTCGTTAAACTGTTTTTATTCACATTTCTCCAGGTTGGTACACTTTAATCCACTATAATCTGTGTTGGGTTGTTTTAGGTTGTGTTTGGTTGGGCTGCGTTGATTTAGGCTGGGCTAAGTTCTATTAGGTTGGTTTAGGTTAAGTTAGGTTAGGTTACTTTATATAATGTTCTGTTATGTCATGGTAGGTTACGTTAATCTATGTGAAACCACATTTAGCCACGTTAATTCTCTTAACCCAAATTAATCCACTGTAATCCGTGTTAATACCCTTAAATCGTTTTATTCTTTTTCTTCTAGAACTTACATTAAGCAAGCTCATTAAGCCTGTGGTTATTCAACTCTTTTTCTACCACTGGTCTTTCCGTATTTGCTTGGGACGACCTCTATTTCGTTTTCCTAGTGGTTGGTTTTTAAGTGTCATTTTCGTATTCTCTCATCTTGCATCCATCCAACGTGTTCTTTCCAATTATCCTGGTATATCTAAGTTTCTTTTACTAAGCTTTTTACTTACAATCTTTCTCTTATCAACGTTTCTTTGAAGGTCTAATTTTGTACATCCTCCTAACGACCATAAGAATCCCATCTGCGTTACTTCCAAACGTTGTTCATCTCATTTATTTAACACCCATGTTTGAAAGCTGTTCTCGCTGTTAATCCGCTTTAACCCACTTTATTCCAAGCTCCTTAAAACACCTTGTTGGTGCAGAAATAAGTTTCACGTCTACAAAAATCCATTTTGCGCGACTCCCAGTGTTTCGAAAGGAACTGTAATGAACTGATATTATGGGAACGATGCAGGTAGGACAGAAGAGGGCGGGTGAAGATTTTGACGTATAAAATTTTGCGCAGTCCTAAAATAATTGACCGACCGAACGAGTGG